CATCATCATCATCATCATCATCATCATCATCATCATCATCATCATCATCATCATCATCATCATCATCATCATCATCATCATCATCATCATCATCATCATCATCATCATCATCATCATCATCATCATCATCATCATCATCATCATCATCATCATCATCATCATCATCATCATCATCATCATCATCATCATCATCATCATCATCATCATCATCATCATCATCATCATCATCATCATCATCATCATCATCATCATCATCATCATCATCATCATCATCATCATCATCATCATCATCATCATCATCATCATCATCATCATCATCATCATCATCATCATCATCATCATCATCATCATCATCATCATCATCATCATCATCATCATCATCATCATCATCATCATCATCATCATCATCATCATCATCATCATCATCATCATCATCATCATCATCATCATCATCATCATCATCATCATCATCATCATCATCATCATCATCATCATCATCATCATCATCATCATCATCATCATCATCATCATCATCATCATCATCATCATCATCATCATCATCATCATCATCATCATCATCATCATCATCATCATCATCATCATCATCATCATCATCATCATCATCATCATCATCATCATCATCATCATCATCATCATCATCATCATCATCATCATCATCATCATCATCATCATCATCATCATCATCATAATCATCATCATCATCATCATCATCATCATCATCATCATCATCATCATCATCATCATCATCATCATCATCATCATCATCATCATCATCATCATCATCATCATCATCATCATCATCATCACCATCATCAACGGTACAACGGTTCATTACGTTAGTTGCAACGTGCAAACCTTTTTTTTAACTCAAAAACAAGGACGTAACGGCCATGCGGTCAACTTATCTCTTCTTTTGCCTTCACGCAAAGTTTACCTGAATAAAGGCACTTTGAGTGAAGAAATGGGTATGTATTGATAATGATTATAACAATAATGATGTTATGGATGATGATGAAGATGAGGATGAGGATGATGGTATTGATAATGACGGCAGTTGTAAATGTAGTAGTACTAGTAATGATAATGATAATGATGGTCTTCTTTTTCAGCATAAGGATTATCATATATGTCCATTATATATCTACCTATATATGCATTTCTTAAACATTAAACATGCAATCACACTCCATCGCTATCACTAGAACAATGGCCATGATCCCTGATTTACATAGATCATAACTGTCGAATGAATATCACTTAGATCGAGTTGTTCTTTTAATGCAAAACGACCAAAGACCGAGACATAACGGCACTTCCACCATAAAAGCATATCATAGCAGCGGATCTGAAAATTGAAATCGCCTCATTTCACGCTTGGAAATGCCTGTTTCGTGTAATTACCTGTTTCCTGCTTGTTATGATAATTATTATCATTTTCACTATTACTATCATTTACATCATTATTATTATTGTCATTATTATCATCATTATCATTATTGTTGTTGTTATTATTATTGTTATTTTCTTTACTATCATTATTATCATTGCTGTTTTCTTTTTCCTTTCCTTCTTCATATTATTATTATTATTATTATTATCATCATCATTACTGTTATCGATGTTATTGTTACTGTTACTATTATTATTATCATTATTAATATCAATAATATCCTTACTATTATCATTACTATTATTATTATCATTATTATTATTGTCATTATCAGTAGTAGTAGTAGTATCATTGTTATTATTATTATTATTATTATTATTATTAATATTTTTATCATCGTTATCATTACTATTATCATCATCATTACTGTTATCGATGTTATTGTTACTGTTACTATTATTATTATCATTATTAATATCAATAATATCCTTACTATTATCATTACTATTATTATTATCATTACTATTATTATTATCATTACTATTATTATTATCATTATTATCATTGCCATTAATAACATTATTATCATTATTGTCATTGTTATTACTATTATCACTGTTATATTATTATTGTCATTATTATCATCATTATCATTATTATTGTTGTTATTATTATTGTTATTTTCTTTACTATCATTATTATCATTGCTGTTTTCTTTTTCCTTTCCCTCTTCATATTATTATTATCATTATCGTAGTCGCCCCTGAAATATAGTTATATCATAGTCTCCCCTGAAAATCACCTAGTCACGAATTCCTGGCTTACTTTTACTTTTTTCTTATACCAAAGAAATAATAATAAATAAATAAAATTGATATATGTACTTTGTAAAATATCTGACAAATGTTTGTTTATCTGCATAGTTATGTTGTCATAAATACTTGTGAGCCCTCAGTCCATTGTAGATATGTACTCTCAGGAAATTGAATAAAATAAGATAGTAAAATGGTATTAATATTTAAACTTTGGTATTATACAAAAATACTCTCTAGTCTTGTCCTCCGCTGCCGATAGCCATAGCGAACTAATCACGGCTATATATACAGTTTAGCTACTCTGTAATCAGCTCGGCTTTAACGCACTAAATACGGCTGTAGAAATGCTGTTCGGCCAAGAGACATCATCCTGAACTTTATGGGACTTAAAGCCGTCATACCGAGATAGGCGGTTTAGCTACGTCTTCATAATAACAGTAAAGGTACTAGTGATAACAAGAAGACAATATTATCATCACCGTTATCAATATTATCATTGTTGTTATCAGTATTATCATTATGATAATTATTATCATTTTCACTATTACTATCATTTACATCATTATTATTATTGTCATTATCAGTAGTAGTAGTAGTAGTATCAATATTATTATTATTATTATCATTATTAATATCAATAATATCCTTACTATTATCATTACTATTAATATTTTTATCATCGTTATCATTACTATTATTATTATCATCATCATTACTGTTATCGATGTTATTGTTACTGTTACTATTATTATTATTATTATTATTATTATTATTATTATTATTATTATTATTATTATTATTATTATTTCTATTATTATTATCATTATTATTGTAATTATGATTACCTTTGTTATTATTATTATTATCATTACTATTATCATCATCATCATTATTATTATTATTATTATTACTATAATCATCATCATTATCATTATTATTATTACTATTATCATCATCATTATAATTGTTATTACCATTATCGTTAGTAGTAGTAGAAGTAGTAGTAGTATTGTTGTTATTATCATCATTATTATTATTGTCATTATCACTATCATTATTATCATTATTGCCAATTTTTATCATCTTTATTTTTGTTATTATTATTACTATCATTATCATTATTAGTATCATCATTATTACTACTGTATCGTCTCACTAACAAGGGCGCCCATCTTATACGTTGTTAAAACAAGGTTAACATCTTAAATGGTGATCTGTGATAGCGCGATCATCACTCATTAACTGTGGTAAAACAATTATGCTAACTACATTATTTTAAACTTTAGTACAAGTTAGATTTAGATTTTATTGTTATAAGCTACTGTTGTAGAGTGGATATTGCTAAGTCATAAGAGAAATTATATACATTCAAAACATACGCTTCATAAAACAAATTACCTAAGCCACGTTAAAATATAACCTAAGAATAATATCAAAGCATCCAGCCTTTACCTTTGATTTTTAATTCCTAAAATTCCTCTCTCGGCACGATTGCAGATTGATGTGGGCTGAATCACAGCGGTTTCTTGGTTTTTCACAAACAACTGGTTTTCGAGAACAGGCAGAGTACAGAGCGGCGCTTCCTAAACTATGGTAGGCTGTAGAATCCTCTTTGAGAACCTACCGCTTGCTATCTACGTGGGTGTAGGGATTGCGGGTACATAAAATGAGAATCTGGGAATGCGCATGGGCATTTTGATTATGGGTTGACGTTAGTTAGACTGGAATATATATATACAGTACCAGGCATCCTTTAATTAGCATCTCGGTGGCGCCAAACGTGCGGATGCCGCTCGGATGGTCATCATCGGACGTGGAGGCTGCAACTCAGGTCACTACAAAATTATTACTAATACTACTGTTATTATTATCATTACTATTATCATTATTAATATCATCATTTTTATTTTCATTATTATTACCATTATCATTATCATTATCATCGACATCATTGGTATTATAATCATTTTATTATTATCATTCTCTTCGTAATATCCTTATTATCATTATCCTAATCACCATTATCATTATTATCAGTACCAGTATTATCAACATTATTATTAGCATCATCCTCCTCATCATGTTTTTTTATTGGAGTTATCATGGTCATCATTATTATTGTTTTGTTGCTAAAATTACCATTGCTATTACTTATATCATGATCACTATTAGTGTTGTTGCTTACTGTTATCATTATGCTTCTTCCATGAATGTCTGCACGAACCCTACTGTGACGTAATGGATACACCTGACCTGTTTTAAGCTAGCTTTGCTTTAATTCCGTTTCTGATTTTTTGTTTCAAATCCGCACAAACCAAATTACTTAAAATTCCATCTCTAACAAACCGAACTCGGATACATGCAAAGAGAATAGAATAAGACAAAACCTATTCCGCTAAGAAATTACGAAAAACTCTCCGTTAGTTGCAATTGCACGCTAGGCCCCCATCATCTTAGCCACACGAAATGCTCCCCCAAGGTTATGCAGGCACCTGGTGACGTCGCGCCTACTACGTCCATGTATAAATAGAGGGGGTTGGATCTTCATTCGATACAGTGTGGTTAAAGCATCCCAAGAACAGCATCATGAAGTCTATGGTATGTAGTCTACAGAGGTATTTGAGTATGGAATAGTGCGTATTTTAGATTTCTGTGTAGAGTTTATTTGGTACTTGTTACGTAGGCCAGAGCCTGTTCTTTTCCGAAATATTACTGAAAATGTTCTTTTGATTGTAAGTGTAAGACTTACTACGGTCGGTCAGTTTTAGATTGACAGTTATTCCGGCTTATAATGCAAATTATACAAAAAAAAATCCAAAAAACCTAGTTCTATAATCACCTTTTCATGGTGCTGTATGTCAGTCAGCTTGTTAATACATGATATCTTTAAAACTCGGAATGAGAAAACTAAAATGTAAACTAAATGTACAAGTAAAAGCTATATCTTATGGAACGCTAGAATTCTAAACCGACAGATAAATCTGGAATACTAATGGAATCTATTTGTTGACGATTGCTCTCAATGCCTCTCAGGTAATTCTGGCAGTGCTGGGCGTGTGCTCTGGCTACAACTGGCAGGCCATCCATGGTGTGTACGGCGCCCCTTACCAGCGGAAGTGGACCGGACCCGTGGCGGCCACCGTCCCGGCAGGCGTCGACGGTACCATCACCCCGGTATCTGATACCTACGAGGTAACCGCTGCACGCAATGCCTTCTTCAAGGCATACAACGCCCAGCTGGCTGCTGTGGGCGCATACCGTTATCCCCTCTATCACCCAACTACCCCAACTCTGTACCTCAATACAGCAGCGCCCGCCGGACACCACTCCGTCCTCACCTACAGCGCTGCCCCTGCTCCGGTCCGTGACACACCCGCCGTGGCCGCCGCCAAGGCTGATTTCTTCCGCCTGTACAACCTGCAGGCGGCAGCAGCAGCCGCGGCCCCAGATCATGATGCCCCTCGCTACTATTACTGAGATGGTGCACAATCCACTTTGAGAGCAGTCAGTAAATATGAATGGCATTTTTTTTTTTATGACAGCCTGTTATTACTCTTCGAAGAACAATCCTGTGTAAAATAACAAAGAAAAATGTCTAAAAAGAAATTGATCTACAAAAAAAATGTCAGAATTCAATAATAAAGCTTGTGAACTAAAATAATGTCATCTCTTACGCCAGTGCACTATGGCCTTTGCTATTTAGAAAGAGGTAACAATTTCGAAATTCCTTTACCCAAACTCTGATCTTCAGTTGAAATTGTAAGACATTATTCAAGATACCTTATCAAGCAATATCATATAAGGCATATAGATAACATATAACAGACACTGAAATGTTTAAGGATATCTTTAAGGGAGACGGTACTTGGCTTTACACTTACAGACTGTACAGAGTAAGAATAAGAGCAAATATTTTCTTTCATGAAAATATAATGATAACGAATGCCTATATCTTGTTGATAAGCATATGAATGAAGAGTGTCTACGAATACACATTTACATACATTTTCTGACAGACACATATTGAACCATTAAGTACGTTTTACAAAAATAAATTACCTCAGTTATATACTTATATATCTATCTGCATTTTGTGATATATGATCATGTGTATAGGTCCGTGGTATCACTGGAGAGTATGATATGTGTTATTGGCAGCACATATTACCCTGATTCTTATGTCAAATAAAACTACTGACTCGGTTAAGCTATAATGGGATTTATCTATTAACTCGGCCTTGAGATGCATCCCTTTATATAAATGCAATAATAAAAACACGAAACATCACAGAAACCTAATAAAAGTACTGTAGTTTTCCTTTTTTTGGGATTATGCGTCAAGGTTAACTAATACTTTAACACGTGATTCACTTGGATAGGAAATTCGCCAATTGGAAGTAGATAGTGTTATTATTGATAATGACGGGATATTCATTCACTAAAAAAATCATTGCAAGACATTCTTTCATAATGGTTATTGCAGTGTATACATATTTCTCGTGTATATATTGCTTTATCATTTCTAGAACCGATGTAGCTTATACCTTTATCTATTTTTATATACTTCTTTAACCATGTCTAATGTGAAAATTAATTCTGCACTTACGCAACGTGATAGCTATAGAGAATGCATGAGAGATATAAATTTGCAGAAGTATTCGGCATTTTATGAAGAAGACATGACGAGCAAAACCAGTGCGTCGTACGATGCGCGTAGTAGAAGAGTAGATTTCGCTGGCTCATGGGACTTCCCTTTGTTATTGTTATTGTTAACATCACTGACTTCAAGGATAATGATATTCGTGAACTTGAGAAAGGGTGAGGGATATGGTTAGTCATGTTTCGTGGCTAGTGAGCTGGTAATGAAAAAGAAGTAAAGAAGAAACTAACACATAATGTTGGTGTGTGTGTTTATATATATATGTATATATATATATATATATATATATATATATATATATATATATATATATATATATATATATAAATATATACATACATATATATATGTATGTATATACGTGTATATATATATATATATATATATATATATATATATATATATATATATATATATATATATATATATATATATATATATATATATATATATATATATATATATATATATATATATATATAACTAAATTACACATTCCTTATCTTACAAACAGCACCGTGATATAGAAAATTAATCAAAATAATTAAAGGCTTCATGGAGGCCTCTCGCTACACCACATATAACAAGAATTACTCTTTTCGCGCAGTCTCTCACCAAGGATCTTCGGCTTACTAAAAAGATTACACCTGTACAGACAGACTAACCAGTGGACGAGGCGAGTGTGACTACCTGAAGCTGGGGTCTTCTCTCCTACTTGATGAACCTTGAATTTCTTCTCGGGGTAACTGGAGGTTTGTGAAGTAATAGATATCTATATATGGTTTAAATATAAGAAAGAAAATAATAGGGAAAACGAAACATAGGCTTTTCTGGTATAAAAGATATTCGAATATGGGTTTAAAGCAAGTATAAATGAAAGAAAGTAAACAGTGAAAAATACTAAACAATATAACCAAATATATATTTGTATTAAGGCTTACCCCTGGCTATAAGGAAACAGAGAAAGAAGAAAAGACAATAAGAAGAAAGTCTTTATTTTCCCACGTTACCCAAGGGCTGAAATTTTGGCTGTCCAGGCCTGCCACGACTGGGTAAACAAAAGACGTTTTCCAAGTATAAAACAATTCATTACTTTAGCAGTTCTATTTCATGCGTTATTCTATTTCCGAAAAAATATACACTTATCATTACAAATATTATTGTCATTCTTACTATCGTCATTGTTATTGTTATTATTAACAGTCTAGTAGTATCGGCAATAGTAGTATTATCCTACTGTTATTACTACATTTACCAATATTGTTGTCAGTACTGGTGTTATGATGATTATTGTTATTAGTGTTATCATCATTTCTACTTCATCATTAACATATAACAATTCTTTGAAAATGACCATTACTATGACAATGTTTATCAAAACCTAGTCTTGGTCTTTGGAAAATCCATACAGTTGTTATTGCATATTGAAAAAGGCAACATACGCATAGTGGCTCCACATTTTAATGAATAATTTGGAGGTAGCCATTGACTGCTTCTTTATCCTGTAACTGCAGTTACATCTTCCTCTTCTGATTAAAAAAAAAATACATTCTACTGATAAAAAATTAAATAATCATCCATATAAGGATACATGCACTTAGTCTTAGATTTAAAGGTCTTGATGTGTATTCGATTATTGTCTCTTTCATTACACTTTTCACTCATATTTCCTCCCATGATTCCCTAGGCTGGTATACTTATTATGGAATTAAAATGTAGAATTGTTGATCGTGCGATAGGAGTACAGGAAAAACAGATTGTAATGTTAGATGTAGATTTGCCTTTGTTAGCATGAATTGCTTTTGCTTTATACACATTTCGTCTTTTTTTTTTTTTTTTTTTTTTTTTTTTTTTAGCGCTGAGTACAGTTGGGAAACAAAATCCACATCACTTTGATAACAGGTGGGGAGGAGTCATGAGCTGCAAGTTGCCTCCCAAGATAAGGGGTTACAGAAATACCAGTTTTCACACCAGATGGATTATTCGATTTGCCAAATAGTCACGTGACCAAGCTGACGAAGATGACTTTACCTGGATGAAGAGAAGAGATGCTGCAACACAAATATGATAGATGGACATGAATAGTAACAATGAGGATAATGATATGCATAATGATCACCACTTCCGCTGGTAAGGGGCGCCGTACACGCCGTAGCCGCCGTAGGAGGCCTGCCAGGTGGAGGCGGAGCACACTCCCAGCACTGCCAAAATTACCTAGAAAGACAATAAGAAAAAAGTCTTTATTTTCCCACGTTACCCAAGGGCTGAAATTTCGGCTGTCCAGGCTTACCACGACAGGGTAAACAAAAGACGTTTTCCAAGTATAAAACAATGCATTACTTTAGCAGTTCTAATTCATGCGTTATTCTAATTCCGAAAAAAAATATACACTTACCATTACAATTATTATTGTCATTCTTACTATCGCCATTGTTATTGTTATTATTAACAATCTAGTAATAGTAGTATTATCCTACGGTTATTATTACTACATTTACCAATATTATTATCAGTACTGGTGTTATGATGATTATTGTTATTAGTGTTATCATCATTTCTACTTCATCATTAACATATAACAATTCTTTGGCAATGACCATTACTATGACAATGTTTATCAAAACCTAGTCTTGGTCTTCGAAAAATCCATGCAGTTGTTATTGCATATTGAAAAAGGCAACATACGCATAGTGGCTCCACATTTAAATGAATAATTTGGAGGTAGCCATTGACTGCTTCTTTTTCCCGTAACTGCAATTACATCTTCCTCTTCAGATTTAAAAAAAAATACATTCTACTGATAAAAAATTAAATAATCATCCATATAAGGATACATGCACTTAGTCTTAGATTTAAAGGTCTTGATGTGTATTCGATTATTTTCTCTTTCATTACACTTTTCACTCATATTTCCTCCCATGTATACCTATTACGGACTTCCATGTCAACTTTATATTCCAGTGGAGTTAAATTGTAGAATTGTTGATCGTGTGATAGGAGTACAGGAAAAAACAGATTGTAATGTTAGATGTAGATTTGCCTTTGTTAGCATGAATTGCTTTTGCCTTATACACTTTTCGCCTTTTTTTTTTTTTTTTTTTTTTTTTTTTTTTAGCGCTGAGTACAGTTGGGAAACAAAATCCATATCACTTTGATAACAAGTGGGAAGGAGTCAGATAAGGAGTTACAGAAATACCAGTTTTCACTCCAGATGGATTATTTGATTTACGTGACCACGCTGACGAAGATGACTTTACCTGGATGAAGAGAAGAGATGCTGCAACACAAATATGATAGATGGACATGAATAGTAACAATGAGGATAATGATATGCATAATGATCACCAGAATTATTGTTGCTGCGTGACATGTGTGTGTGTAACAGAAAGACATTTTGAAGAAAGATAAGGACAAAGGAAGGACAGTAAGTATAACTGAAACCATTTACAAAATGATCGGGAAAATGAGGCAAAGATGTGTTTCCTAGTTTCGCAAAAACAACGAAAGTTAAAATCAAGGTTTGTTAGGACGGGTGAGGATATGATGGTCAACTTTCCCATTTTCCTGACGTTTCGTAGATAATGCAATACATCATAACTTCTTAGTAGGTAGCATAAGATGTAAGTGTACGCAGTTCTGCAAGCATTCTGTAAATGAAACCACCAGTCTTTCTAATGCGTGCGGGAGCGTAATATTAATGAACGTAATATGAATGAACACGGATAATGAGATGAAATGCTTAGAAATATATATTTATTTTGGAATTTTGCAGAGTATATACATTTTAATTCTTAATTTCAAGTCCTTTTAGTAATAACATCGAGGGGCATCATGATCTGGAGCCGCGGCAGGCAGACAGAGAGAAACAGAGAGAGAAAGAGACAGACTGAGAGTTGGTGGTGGGGAGAGAGAGAAGGGGGAACGGGAGAGGAGAGAGAGAGATGAGAGAGAGAGGGGGGGGGGGGAGGGAGAAGAACGAGGGAACGTCCATATCTGTCTGCGTATCATTTTTAGTTTGGTCAGTGAGGTCGCTGCAATTGCATCGCTCATTCGCAAAGCATACTTAAAAGATATAAGAGAGGACATCCGATCATTTTGAGTGCACACTCAATTTTCGGTTCATTGATATGTTACAAAGTTCCTGTAAACATGCGATACATATTAGTAATAGTAGCGAGGGGCATCATGATCTGGAGCCGCGGCTGCTGCTGCCGCCTGCAGGTTGTACAGGCGGAAGAAATCAGCCTTGGCGGCGGCCACGGCGGGCGTGTCACCGACTGGAGCAGGTGCGGCGCCGTAGCTGAGGGCGGAGTGGTGGGCGGCGGGCGCTGCTACGCTGACGTGCACCGCCGGCGTGGCGTGGTGGTAGGCGGGAGCACCGTAACGGTACGCGCCCACGGCAGCCAGCTGGGCGTTGTATGCCTTGAAGAAGGCATTGCGTGCAGCGGTCACCTCGTACGTATCAGACACCGGTGTGATGGTACCGTCGACGCCCGCCGGGACGGTGGCCGCCACGGGTCCGGTCCACTTCCGCTGGTAAGGGGCGCCGTACACGCCGTAGCCGCCGTAGGAGGCCTGCCAGGTGGAGGCGGAGCACACTCCCAGCACTGCCAAAATTACCTAGAAAAAAAACATAGACATTTAGATTTTTTCATGTATGTTTTTTTCCATATCTGAGGCCCATTGTACAATGTATTCAGGAACTAAATTTCAATAAAAGTTACCAGAGACTTCATGATGTCCTGCTTCGTCTGTCGTGAGTTGCACTGCATGGCTCTTGCCTCGTGCACAGTATTTATAGGATCTGCATCAGTGCAATTCTGGTGGGTGTGGCTTGACCCTGGATCAGCTGAGGAAGAGATGGAGTATTCTGAGTCAGCAATTGTCTTCAAATTATATCCTGAAGACAACTGTTATCTCAAATATCTATATTTTTTTAATACTTGTTGGGAATGACCGGGCCCATTGCAAAAGGGCTCATTTTTTATTATGGATATACGCATTGTTTCAGTTATCAGGACTAATCTTTAGTAAATTGACGGGTAAATAGATAAAAGACCATAACTTTCCTAAGAATTGTGTTGTAATTAATGTTGCTTATATGACTTGACACTTGCTGAATCATTTTAGGTTAATAAACGTTTGAAACAACTAGTAAACACCTACAGAATGCCGTGGCAGGTTTTACTTTTATTTTGTAGTTAAAGTGTCAGCCTATTTTTGTTAATTTTACGCAAATGTATGTATGTACAATACGTATAAAGTTCGTGTGTGTGTAATATATCGACATATCTGTGTGTGTGTCGTTTATGTCACAATTGATATTGGGAACTTTATTACTGATATGGATGTTTCCTTGCCTTTGGTAAATGACCATCATCAACTAAGCATAATGATTATCATCTTTTCATATCCAGTTCCATCATTTGAAAATCCCGGTGCTATCCTACGTTTAAAAAAAAAAAAACTTTCTTGTATCTGAAATATACATATATATATATATATGTATATATATATTGTCTCTATTTGTAGAAAAAGTACAAGGATAAGAATGAACATCGTCACTGCGTAAGTGATGTACATAACCTGCTTCGACTTTATCTTCGTCTGAAATCATACATCGCTTTTTTTATATAATTTGCAGTCGACTAATTTCCCGCTATGACTTTATGTATTTTGAACTCTAGTTTGTATGCCCATACGCAGACTTCTATGTCAACTGTTGACTGTAGAATTGTTGGTTGTGTTATAGTATTACAAATGCGGTTGTAGATGCGGGGTTGCATCTGCTATCAAGAAGTGCTATTGGTTTATAAAAATGTCTTCTCTCCTCTATGTTGAGTACAGTAAGGAGTGAAAAATATAATTTTGATGATGGGTTGATAAGAGCCATGGGTTCCATATTATGATAAAAGGTAAGATGGGGGAATAGGAACACATGTTGCTGCGGGAATAAATATACTTGCCAATATTTATAAAATTATCAGGAAATGTGGCCAAAGGTGTTGTTTCCTTGTTTTGGAAAAGCAGCGAAAGTTGAAATGAAGGCCTGTTTGGGCGCATGAGGTCATGGCTTTCCTATTTTTCTGACATTCTGTGGATATGTAATGCGTCTGATAATTGTGTATTAAGTAGTGTTAGACGATATACCGCATCTACTGTACAGGTGTACTTATTCTGTTAATCAAACTATAACAATCATTTTATGTGTGGACGAGCGAATGCGAGGATTTATATATCCGTATCGTAATAAAATGAAATGTCTAGAGATATAGATTTATTTTTTTATAGACATTCTAATTGTTAGTTTCAAGTTGCTTTTTTAGTAATAGTAGCGAGGGGCATCATGATCTGGAGCCGCGGCTGCTGCTGCCGCCTGCAGGTTGTACAGGCGGAAGAAATCAGCCTTGGCGGCGGCCACGGCGGGCGTGTCACCGACTGGAACAGGTGCGGCGCCGTAGCTGAGGGCGGAGTGATGGGCGGCGGGCGCTGCTACGTTGACGTGCACCGCCGGCGTGGCGTGGTGGTAGGCGGGAGCACCGTAACGGTACGCGCCCACGGCAGCCAGTTGGGCGTTGTATGCCTGGAAGAAGGCATTGCGTGCAGCGGTCACCTCGTACGTATCAGACACCGGGGTGATGGTACCGTCGACGCCCGCCGGGACGGTGGCCGCTACGGGTCCGGTCCACTTCCGCTGGTAAGGGGCGCCGTACACGCCGTAGCCGCCGTAGGAGGCCTGCCAGGTGGAGGCGGAGCACACTCCCAGCACTGCCAAAATCACCTAGGAAAAAAGAATATAGATAATTAGAGCTTTTCCTGTATGATTTTCTGTTGTCATTTCTGAGGTCCATTGCATCAGGCACACAAAACAATCTATTCAGGAATCAAATTTCAGTAGAAGATACCAGAGACTTCATGATGTCCTGCTTCGCCTGTCGTGAGTCGCACTGCATGGCTCTTGCCTCGTGCACAGTATTTATAGAACCTGCATCAGTGCAATTCTGGTGGGCGTGGCTTGACCCTGGATCAGCTGAGGAAGAGATGGAGTATTCTGAGTCAGCAATTGTCTTCATATTACTCTATATCCGGATGACTGCTCTTATCTGAAATTTCCATATTTTATTAACATTTGTAGACAATGACCGAACCCTCTGAAAAAAGGATTCATGTTAATTTTTTTGTTAGTTTGTCTTTGTGCTTGTGTCAAAATAGCCAGGCTCTGAGAGATATAATCGCTCCTCCTATACACATAGTGTTTCAGCTATCCCGACTCGCCCTTAGTAAATTGATGGAAATTGAAGGAAAAGACCGTGATATTCCTGATAATTGTGTTGTTATTAATGTTGCTTATATGACTTGACATTTGCTGAATCATTTTGGGTTAATAAACGTTTGAAGCATAACTAGTAGACATGCGTAATGCCGTGCGAGGATTTGCTTTTGTTTAGCAGTTGCAGTAATAATTTGTTTCTGTTATTTTTACGCAAATGTATGTATACATGCAAGATTGTGTATGTATGAGTGTGTGCATGCGCGCGCAGTTATGCATACATACACACGCGCACATAAACACATGCATATATATGTATATATATGTGTGTGTGTGTGGAGGGGAGTACATGCATACACAAATATACGTTTATGTGTGAACCCAAGCACATACACGTATAATTTTATGCTATAATTAATGTTGTGGACTTTATTATTAATGTTGATATTTCCTTGCCCTTGGTCTATAATCATCATCAAGTAGTCATAACTATTATCAACTACATCCTCTTAAGCAAAATCATTATCATCTTTTTGTACCCAGTTCCATTATTTGAAAGTCCCGCTTTAAAAAAGAGGAGAGAGAGAGAGAGAGAGAGAAAAGGGCAATGGATACATTCATAAATCAGTAACTTGGCAGTGGCCTTCGACTTTCTTACTTATATCTGGAAAAAAATATTGTCTTTATTTGTAGAAAAAAATACAAGGATGAGAATGAACATCGTCACTGCGTAAGTGATGCAGTTGACCGATTTCGACTATATCTATACTCGACTATAGGAAATTATACATTGTGTTCTCTTTGATTATATTTTTCAGTCAGAATTAATGCCGCATTTTGCACTATGATTTTATATATTTTGGACTTTAGTTTGTATGCCTATACACAGACTTCCTTGTCGATTTTATATCTGAAGTTGGAAAGTAGAATTATTTGTCGTGTGACAGTAATACAGAAGCGGTTGTAGTTGCATCTCCTATCAAGAAGTGCTTTTGATTTATGAACATAGTCTTTTCTCCAGTACAATACAGTAAGAAGTGAAAAATATACCATTTGATGATAGGTAAATTGGAGCTATGTTATATCTAAAGGTAAGATGAGTAATAGAAATGATTGTTGCTATGTGGAATGCATAAGACATTTTGCAGAAAGGCTGATAAAGGAAGTGCAGTGAGCCTAACTGACGCTCTTTATTAAATGATCAGGAAAAGTGGGCAAAGGTGTGTTTCCGTGTTTTGGAAAAGCAGCGAAATTTTCAATCAAGGTCTGTTGGGATGGACAAGGTCGTGATGGTCAGTTTTCCTTTTTCCTAACATCAGAGAACTGTGGTAAGTAGTATTAGACTATTTATATCACATCTGCACAGGTGTAGGTGTACGCAGTTCTGCTAACATTCTGCAAATCAAAGTACACCAGTCATTTCACGCGTGAGCGACCGTATGTGATTACTTATAAACGCCATGATATTTATAAACACGGATAATAAAATAAAATGTTTAGAAATATAAATTCATTTTTGTAAATTTGCAAAGTACAGACATTTTGATTGGCAGTTTTCAATTCCATTTAGTAATAATAGCGAGGGGCATCATGATCTGGAGCCGCGGCTGCTGCTGCCGCCTGCAGGTTGTACAGGCGGAAGAAATCAGCCTTAGCGGCGGCTACGGCGGGCGTGTCACCGACTGGAACAGGTGCGGCGCCGTAGCTGAGGGCGGAGTGGTGGGCGGCGGGCGCTGCTACATTGCCGTGCACCGCCGGTATGGCGTGGTGGTAGGCGGGAGCACCGTAACGGTACGCGCCCACGGCAGCCAGTTGGGCGTTGTATGCCTTGAAGAAGGCATTGCGTGCAGCGGTCACCTCGTACGTATCAGACACCGGTGTGATGGTACCGTCGACGCCCGCCGGGACGGTGGCCGCCACGGGTCCGGTCCACTTCCGCTGGTAAGGGGCGCCGTACACGCCGTAGCCGCCGTAGGAGGCCTGCCAGGTGGAGGCGGAGCACACTCCCAGCACTGCCAAAATTACCTAGGAAAAAGGAACAGATATTTCGAAAATGCTTTTGTCATGTATGATTTTTTGTCATTTCTGTGTCCCATTGCATTAAGCATATAATACAATCATTCAGCACCCAAATTTCAGGAACAGTTACCAGAGATTTCATGATGTTCTGCTTCGCCTGTCGTGAGTCGCACTGCATGGCTTCTTGCCTCGTGCACAGTATTTATAGGATCTGCATCAGTGCAACTCTGGTGGGCGTGGCTTGACCCTGAATCAGCTGAGGAAGAGATAAAGTATTGAGTCAGCAATTGTCTTCAAAATGATTATAGTTTGATTACTACTATTATCTCAAATATCCATATATCCTAGCACTTGTAGGGAGTGACTCATCCCAGTTCATAAGGATTCAAATTGATATGTTTCGACTTATTATAGTCATTCAGTTTTAACAAGGGAATAAATAAATCGATAAATAAATAGCGCAAGGAAATAGATCGGAAAATTCCTGACAGTTGCTTTGTATTTAATGTTTCTTCTATGACTTGACACTATTGCCGAATTATCAAGTGTTAATAAATGTTTGAAACAATCATTAAATCATCTGACCAAGATCGTGGGATGTAGTGCGATATTCTACTCCTGTTTTCAGTTATACTAACTGCTTGTTTATCAGTTGCCATTTTGACGCAAATTGTATCATGTGTATATAAATAAATAATACGTAGATACATATGTACACATACATAGATATGTCTATATATATATACATGTGTATGTGTACACTTCCGCATATATTAACGCACCCGCACATAAACATACAAACACGCACGCAGACTCACTCATCCACTTACACGCACATATATGTGTGTGTGTATATATATATTGGTTTAGTACTTGTCACTCTGGTCATGGAGTGGCCAGGGTTCGAGTCTCGGTCAGTGAAGCTTGTTAATTATATCAAATCAGCAAAAATAGCCCTGTACATCTGACTTCGGATTCGAATTACCAAATCACTTTCTATCGAATGTCCACGAGGAGTGTGTAAAACCTCTAGTATGAGTAGATAGGTAATGTTTATGAAGCTAGTTAGATCCTAGTTGTGCATTCCTTTTAGTGGGTCGTGTGGCATGATTGGCTTAGTACTTGACAGTCTGGTCATACCTGGAGTGCCAAGGCTTCGAGTCCCAGCCAGTGAGGGTTGTTGTTTATTTATGTATATCTATATAAATATATATGTATGCATGTACATAGATATATGTATATGTATAAATATGGACTTACTTCTGACATTTAGATATTTCAAATACATGATATTAACAATATTGTATTCTCTTTCATCATGCAGTTCAATCAAGAGCAATGTCAACTTTCATATATGCATATGCATAGACATATAGATGTGTATGTGTGGTGTGGGAGTGTGTGTATAGATGAATATATGGATATATATATATGTGTGTGTGTCTATATATTCATATATATGTGTGTGTGTGTGCGTGTGCATGTATATTTATATATACACTCCTGTGCATGTACATATGTATAAATATAAAGATAGGTATATATATGCATATATATATAAACATACATACATATGTATATTGTATATATATATTGGTTTAGTACTTGTCACTCTGGTCATGGAGTGGGAAGGGTTCGAGTCCCGGTCAGTGAAGCTTGTTAATTATATCAAATCAGCAAAAATAGCCCAGTACATCTGACTTCGGATTCGAATTACCAAATCACTTTCTATCGAATGTCCACGAGGAGTGTATAAAACCTCTAGTATGAGTAGATAGGTAATGTTTATGGAGCTAGTTAGATCCTAGTTGTGCACTCCTTTTAATGGGTCGTGTGGCATGATTGGCTTAGTACTTGACAGTCTGGTCATACCTGGAGTGCCAAGGCTTCGAGTCCCAGCCAGTGAGGGTTGTTATTTATTTATGTATATCTATATAAATATATATGTATGCATGTACATAAATATATGTGTATGTATAAATATGGACTTACTTCTGACATTTAGATATTTCAAATACATGATATTAACAATATTGTATTCTCTTTCATCATGCAGTTCAATCAAGAGCAATGTCAACTTTCCTGCAGTTGTTTCCTGGCTAAAGTCAATGTTGAACTTCCATGTTTATATACATAATTCTGTGTCTACTTCGTATGTGTGCCGACCGGCAGCAGTAAAAGAAGAGATTGAAGATGTGAGTGTGTATCTGCTATCACGAATAGATATATATATATGCACTTTATATATTCTTCTTTCCACTGAGTACGAATGGGAATGAAAAATATACATCGTTATGATAATGGATGACGATGTGCCATGAGCTGCGAATCGGCTCCCATCCCTGTAAAGACAAAAAAAAGGTAAGTTAAGGATTTTTTTTTTTCAGAGGATGGATTTGCGGATTAGATAGACGGCAAAGTATCCACACTGATGAAGATGCCTTTGCCTAGATCGGGAGAATCCATGGAGGACTGCAACATCTGAATGATCTATGAGCCGTGAGAATGATATTATGTGCTACACAATCACAAGTATATTAGTTATTACATGACATATTCGTGTATTTGAATGTGATTCCGAAGAAAAGCAATAACAGAGGAAGTAAGTATGAATGAATCTATTCATAAAATGATCAAGATAGATGGGCAAACATGTGTTTCCTTACTTCAGGAAAAAAAATGAAATTGAAATCAAAGTCTGTTAGGACGGATGAGGTCATCGTGGTAGGTTTCCCCATTTTTCTGACATTGTGAAGGTCATGCAATTCGTCAGATAACTGTGTCTTAAGTAGCATTAGACGATATATCACATCTATTCACATTCTGTATATCAGAAGTACACTAGTCAATTTATGTGTACGCTAGCGAATGTATTTACTTAGATGTTTGTATCATAGCAGAAAAACCGACATGATATTCATAAGAAAAAATGGATAATGAAATGAAACGTTTAAAAATATAGATTTTTTTTTTTTTTTTTTTTTTGTAATTCTGCAAAGAGTATAGCATTTTTGATTGCCAGCTATCATCAGGTCCTTTTAGCAATAGTAGCGAGGGCATCATGATCTGGGGCCGCAGCAGCACAGGTGTAGGTGTATACCTGTGCACATCTGCACAGGTGTAGGTGTACGCAGTTCTGCTAACATTCTGCACATCAAACTACACCAGTTATTTCACGAAAATGAGTACTTATCAACACCATAGTATTCATAAACACGGATATTGAAATAAAATGTTTAGAAATATAAATTCATTTTAGTAAATTTGCAAAGAGTACAGACATTTTGATTGGCAGTTTTCAATTCCATTTAGTAATAATAGCGAGGAGCATCATGATCTGGAGCCGCAGCTGCTGCTGCCGCCTGCAGGTTGTACAGACGGAAGAAATCAGCCTTGGCGGCGGCCACGGCGGGCGTGTCACCGACTGGAACAGGTGCGGCGCCGTAGCTGAGGGCGGAGTGGTGGGCGGCGGGCGCTGCTACGCTGACGTGCACCGCCGGCGTGGCGTGGTGGTAGGCGGGAGCACCGTAACGGTACGCGCCCACGGCAGCCAGCTGGGCGTTGTATGCCTTGAAGAAGGCATTGCGTGCGGCGGTTACCTCGTACGTATCGGATACCGGTGTGATGGTACCGTCGACGCCCGCCGGGACGGTGGCCGCCACGGGTCCGGTCCACTTCCTCTGGTAAGGGGCGCCGTACACGCCGTAGCCGCCGTAGGAGGCCTGCCAGGTGGAGGCGGAGCACACTCCCAGCACTGCCAAAATTACCTAGGAAAAAATATCTAAATATTATTCAAAATAATATCTTGTCATTCCAGAAACCATTCATGGTAAATGTTCTTCCCTTGTAATGAAAATAAAAAACACTAAACATCATATTCATAGAGTCGGTTGAGCCATCTAATACCACTACCAAGTATCTATAGAACTTTTTATATTATATTTTTATCTATATTTATATCATATCGCCCTTTCCGCCTTTGCTTCACGCACACAAAACATAACATTTTCAAGAACAGTTACCAGAGATTTCATGATGTCCCGCTTCGCCTGTCGTGAGTCGCACTGCATGCCTCCAGCCTCTTGCACAGTATTTATAGGACCTGCATTAGGGCGACTCCTGCAGGCGTGGTTTGACCCTGAATCAGCTGAGGAAGAGATGGAGCATTCTGAGTCAGCAATTGTCTGTAAGTGATTTCATACTTTGATAACTCTTATTATGTCTCAAATATCCATATTTTCTTAACACTAGAAGGGAATGACATCCCACTGCAAAAGGGTTAAAGATAAGATACGTTTTCTTTTTTTTTTTCTTTTTTTTTTTGCGTTAAGAGAGCCTTTTTTTCTTTTCTTTTTTTGCGTTAAGAGAGCCAGTTTTTTTTTTTTTTTTTTTTTTTTTTTTGCGAGACATCGTAGTCGCTTCGCTGTGCTCCATACTTTTCTAATAATAAAAGCAGATGTATGTATGTTCTAATAATTGTAACTGACATTTGTAGGTTAGGTAGAAGTGTATATTTTCCAACGAGTATAACTGACATACGAAATAGAAAAGGATCATGACACTACGAACCCTTTTTATTTTTATTTTTCTTATATGAATTGGAATGGTTGCTGCAATATCACGATCAAAAAAAAAAAAAAAATAGAGACGGACTTTTACATTCCAATAAACGTAACACTAAATTTTAGAAGTACATAAAAGAGCATTTCAACCCATCTCCTTTGAAATGAACAATAAAATAACGTCCGCAAATTTCAAGTAATCCTACTGGTTTGTTGAGAGAAGGAGAGTTAATAGCATCGATTTCTTTTGTGTGACATGAAAACAAAGACTAAACCACGTGACCTCGATCCCGAATGTCGTGCGAGGCGTAACTTCTGTTTGGCAGCTAAATTGATATCTTATTTTTGGTATAAGTTTGACACAAACTCCCTGATGTGTGTGTGTGTGTGTGTTTTATATATAGTATATATCTGTATATATAATGTATATATGTATACATGTATATATATATATGCATTCATATGATATATATATGTGCATACATAGTTATTATTCATATATACATATATATACATAAATACACATATACATAGATATATGCATTCATATATATATATATATATATATATATATATATATATATATATATATATATATATATATATATATATATATATATATATATATATATATATATATATATATATATATATATACACATATACACATATATATAGTGATATGCATACATATACATATATATATATATATATATATATATATATATATATATATATATATATATATATATGTCTATATATATGTGTGTATATATATGTATATGCATATATATGTATGTGTGTATATATGTATATATGTGTGTGTATGTGAACAGATGTATACACATATATTTATATAAATATATATATATACTTATTTATATATATGTATATATATGTATGTATACATATGAATGTGTATGTATTATGTGTATATATATACATGTGTATATATTTATATGTATACACATACATATGTATGTGTGTGTGTTATGTATATATATATGTTTATATGTGTGTGTGCATAGATGTATACATAGTATGTGATCATTTCATGGGAAGGGGATCATCTGTTTCTAAATGGGTCCGTGATTCGAGAAAGGTTAAGACTTGCTGCTCTATACCCTCTTCACTGCAAGACGCTGGTAATGGGATTTGCAATGGAATTCAGCCTTCATGTCTAATGATCGATGATTATGTCTCACAATGTATGTGCTATTCAAATCAGCTGAATGCCATTGGCTTTCCTCCATGTTCCTGAACCTAGCATATAACTTTATAATCTTTGCTTATCATCCATAGAGATTTTCATTTATTATACTTCACCTCACTGTATTCTCTTTTATTCTGATCAGTTGCCAGAGAGAAAGAGACAGAGAGAGAGAGACTGGGGCAGGCGGTAAGAGAGAATTAGAGAGAGAAAGAGACAGACGGAGAGTTGATGGTGGGGAGAGAGAGAAGCAGACTGAGTGATAAGGGGGACTGGAGAATGAGAGAGAGGGATGGGAGATGCACGAGGGAACGTCCATAGTTGTTTGCGTATCACTCATTACTTCGGCCAGTGAGTTCGCTGCAATTGCATCGCTCATTCGCAAAGCATACTTAAAAGAGATAAGAGAGGACATCCGGCCATTTTGAGTGTACACTCAGTTTCGGGTGTGATGAAAATAGAAAAGATACTAAGGTTGACCCACATTCATTGATATGTTATAAAGTTCCTGTACATATTAGTAATAGTAGCGAGGAGCATCATGATCTGGAGC